GCTTTTCATTTATATAATTTACATTACTGCAAACCTCCTTAATCTTGTCTTGCACTTTTACGAAAGCTTTTAAGTTCAACTTCTATCCGAAACTGATTGAATCGAAGCCATTTTCATTGGAATCAATTTTAATCGAAACGAACATTTTTATGAAATCGCGAAAGTTTTCCGCTGCACTAATTCATCCTCCCTCTTATTGCCACTCTTGATCCTAACAATATTAAGAGCTATTGAGTATTTTATTTTTTAGATTAAAATAAAAAAAATTATAAGATAGTTATCATATTAGTATTTTTTTTAGACCTGAGTAAAAAATAGTTCATAAATTATAAATAAAAAATTTATGTCCCTAAAATGATGATATTACGATAAATATATGGAGTTAGAAAAATAAATATTTTTATTAGTAAAAAAAAAGGGTGTAACTTTATTGAAAGATAACATAAAGAAAGATTATTATAGATAGATGGAGACATAAGTAGATTTTATTAGAAAGAAACAAACCAAAAAAAATAAAAATTAAATTTAGTAATAATATTATTTTTGAATAAGTTTAATATTAATAAATGGATGAGCTGGGGTTTGATGATCAGATTCGGTTCGTTAAATGCCAAACATGTGGTTTTGGTTGACCAAACTGATGCGATTTGGGCGGAGTTCAAACAGAAAAATTAGCCCACAACATGCTCCGTTGGCATCTCGATCGGACGGCAATTACTCGTTCTATCTCCCTATAAATAGCCAATCTGTAGGGTTCAGGCGGTCGCCATTTCGAGGGCAGGAGGCGGCGTTGACGATGACGACGCGCTTCAGGAAGAACCGGAAGAAGCGGGGGCACGTGAGCTCCGGGCACGGGCGCATCGGTAAGCACCGGAAGCACCCTGGCGGCCGCGGTAACGCTGGCGGCATGCACCACCACCGTATCCTCTTCGACAAGTACCATCCCGGCTACTTCGGCAAGGTCGGCATGCGCTACTTCCACCGCCTTCGCAACAAATTCTACTGCCCCGCCGTCAACGTCGACCGCCTCTGGTCCCTCGTCCCCGAAGCTGTCAAGGACGCCGCCGCCGCCAAAGGCGGCGCCACCGCCCCCTTGGTCGACGTTACCCAGTTTGGGTACTTTAAGGTGCTTGGCAAGGGAATTCTGCCGCCTGACCGGTCCGTCGTGGTGAAGGCCAAACTCGTTTCCAAGATCGCCGAGAAGAAGATCAAGGCCGCCGGTGGCGCCGTCGTGCTCACCGCCTGATCCGCGCGATCTGACGGTCGTATCGTACTCTTCTCGTTATTTCCAAGCCATTTTTCCTTCCTAATCTGCTCGAACTTAATACTTGGATTTTAGATCTTGAAGCGTAGTGTAGTGTTTATGATGTGTTCGATCTTTTGTCTTTGAAGGTGGTGCTTGGTCTATAATTCACATTTAGGCAAATGCAGTTGGTAATGCCATTGATGTTGATTAGGGTTCTACTCATGTTTGATTGGAGCATCTGTTTCTGGTTCATAATTATTGGTCTTCATAAATGAATTAACCTAAATATACACTGGTTTGCAATCTTACGACTCTACGGAGTAGCATGGTCACTCTATGTATGTCTATTCCTTTTTACATGCTTATTATCTCCGCATAGTTATATAAATGTTACTATGAATGATTAATTGTGTTGAACCTTCCGATGTTCATGTACACATTCACATGCTTTTACTGTTGAAAGCTGATGTATAACAAAAAATTTAGTATTTAATGTGTAACTTCTGTCTATGTATGCAGTTGCTAGTAATATAGTGGAGTTTGTGGACTTTATTTTACCATAAGAAGAATGAAAATTAATCAAAAATAAATAAGGTCGCGTATATGGCTTTCGTCTGACCTGATGTGAATTCATTCCCATTCTAATATCATTGTAGGATTGATATGCTGCAGTGCTGAGTTTTTAATTAGTATAAGTTGGTCTATTAGGAGTCTTCCAGTATCGAAAAGATACCATTAAATACTACTGTGACTATTGCATTAGCTAGCGAACAGGTAGTTTACTCAGGTTGACGGAAGACGGTCTCTCCATAAATAGAGTTGATGTGTGCATTGACTCTACCCCACATTGATGCGAGTCCGATTCAAACATCATCATATAATTGACATGCTGTAAGCTGAGTGTTTAATCAGCTAAAGTTGGTCATTTTAGAGTCCATTATTGGAAAAATGACCATTAAACATTGCGATGACTACTATAGATTATGTTGAGCTTGATATGTTCATGAATTCAGGTTGATGCTTTTACCATTGAAGGCTGATGTATAATTAAAAATTTAGCTTTTAATCTGTAGCTTCTGTCTCTGTTTGCAGTTGCTAATATCATATGAACTGAAGTTGGTCCATTAAGAGTTCATTATCAAAAAGATAACAAGAAACAGTACTATGACTACTGAAGATTGCTTTAGCTTGAAAATGGTAGTTTCCTAAGGTTGCTCCTATACTATCTGGATCAGATGATCATTTTACGAATAATGGAAACAACCTCTCGGTAGAACTGCAGTAAGACTTTTGTCCTTTTTTTTTTAATCATCTAGTCAATCGCCCTTTTTGATATTATTTGATGTGTGCCAACACAAGCACAACATCTAGTATCAAAGAATGCTTAGGACTATATTCTATTTGGTTGACATCAATGGTAGTTGCTAAATTTTGATGAGATTCGTTGTTCTATCAGCTTAATAATGATCAATGCTGTTCATGATTGTTTGTGGTTGATATATAAGTGTATTTCTTGCCATCTTTTCCCTTCCTTGTGTTTTGCTGGAATATAAGTGTATTCCACAAGGCTTCTTAGATTTTTACTCTTTATCTGTGACGACTAAGATGGTTTTTTCCGGGTTTACCAACTGTTGATTGAGGTTTTATCTTGTTCTTCACATCTCAATCATGAACATTAATTCCCAAGGCTTAAATTGGTTGGGAAGATGAGTCTTCCAAATACATTTCCACCCTACCCTGAGTTATTACTTCAACTCATCCTTCTCTTGTTCACCGATCACATCATAAAAATCATTTCAGCAGTTACTCTCAATAATTAGAAAGGTTATCAATGAACTCAATCAACAGTTCATCTCTTTTTACATATTATATATAGATGTTCATAAAAGCATAGTTATTATAACCGGATTGGATGGGATTGTTGGATAGGAAAAATTGGGAACCATTAATAGATCTGATTTATTTATGGGGTCGGTTGTGTTAAACAATTGGTATGAACCGATTGATCTGGTCCGTTTTTAGACGACGCACATGAATCTAATTCATTCAGTTTTGTTGATATAGTTAAGATTATTTATTTTTATTTTATTTTTTTTTTAAATGACATTTATGTCAATTTTGAAATCATGATTAATATGAAAATAAATAAATGTGTAGGTTTTGAATTCGAATCTTAATTTTGTTATCTATCCTTTTCAAAATATAAAAACGAAACTGACCTATCTCATGTAATCGGATTTTGTTTTTTATTGGGCTTTCTTCCTCACCTTCCTCTGACCGAATGGACTCTTCTGGTATAATTATCAAATCACATATTGATGAATAAGAAAATGCCCATATTGATATATATATATATATATATATATATATATATATTCAATTGATTTTGATATCTAATAAAATAACATTAGACAAGCTATTTCCTTTGTGTCTAATATTTGATCTTGTGCCTCATAAAGATATTAATACATGTTGTTTAATCCACATTACAATTTATGTCTATAATATTTGATTAACATTATCATTTTTATCAATATTTTATATTTTTATAAAATGGTTTATTTTTTATTAATCTTAATATTTAGTTTTTTATTACATAATTTTAAATATTTTTAATTAAATATACGGACCCAGCGGTTTTGACTAGTGACCCGATGACCCCAGACTCGGTCGGACCTTTTCTCCGGGTAACTATGCATGAAAGAGATTTAATCCTTCTTTCAGATTAATCAATTTAGAGCATTAATAATATAGGGTAGGTCAGATGTCACACGGGGTGTGGAAGCATGTGCAAAGTAGCGTAGCTCAAATGTCCTTACCGGAGAGGCCTTTGGAAGGAAGCATATGCATAGTAGGGTGGGCCTTATTTGAAATTTATTCTAGGAATGCATTGGCCAAGAATATGCTAAACGTACACAATTGAATAGGATTAAATGATCACAACCCCCACAGTACTTAAATGTAACCCCCCCCCCCCCTAACATTTGTAATTTTTGAAAGGATTATTACTTGCCTTTTGTAATTATCATTTGACTAGCACATTTGGCATTTATATCCTTTAAATTTTCTTTATGAATGTCAGATCATTAAGGGCGCTTTATGTAGTTAATTTTTTTTAAACTTGCTTTAATCTTATTTTTAGATCATGAATTCTAAATACGCACATATATCATTCATTTCTTTCATTTTTATCATAATCTAAACGAAACATATTGTTAACATTAATTCGTTATCTAAACCATCTCCAATTTATTATTTGTTTTCATTAATTTATTTTCTCTTATAATCCCAATTACTTTCTCTATATGCCCTCCATGACACCTAACCAACGGCCACTATAACTGTTCGCCGTCTCTGTTGTCCTCTCTTAAATTTCTCCTTTATTCTAGGCTATGTAAATACCTTGTGCCCGCTGAGAAGAGAGAGAGAAAGAGGGAATGGGGTTTAGCATGGTGTGGGTGATCGATCTATTGATCCACCTCGTCTACAAGGCCGCCGGTCTCCGCCCCCACACCGTCGCCCTCGATGACGACACCACCGTGCACTGCTGGATCTCGTCATCCCTCCTTCCCCCTTCCTCCGCGATCAGATCGAAGGAAAAGAAGGCGACGCCCCCGCTCCTTCTGATCCACGGCTTCGGGCCACGGGGCACATGGCAGTGGAGCAGGCAGATCTGGCACCTCGCCGCTCGCTTCGACCTCGTCGTGCCGGACCTCCTATTCTTCGGCGGATCCACCACTCGGTCCCCGATCCGGTCCGAGGCCTTCCAGGCCGCCGCCATCGCCCGTCTTCTCGCCGTGCTCGGCGTCGGGCCCCCGCACCGGGCGAGGGTGTCAGTGGCCGGGACTAGCTACGGGGGGTTCGTGGCGTACCATGTAGCGCGGGCGTTGGGCCCAGAGTGGGTGGAGCGCGTGGTGATCGCCAGCTCCGACGTGCTGAAGGGGCCGGACGACGACCGCGCGCTGCTGGAGCGGGCCGGCGGGGCGCGCAGCATCGACGAGCTACTCCTCCCTCGAACCACCGCCGACCTCAGGAGGCTTGCCCGCCTCGCCGTCTACCGCCCGCCTCTGTTCGTGCCTGAGTTCATCCTCAGGGACATGCTACAGGTAAATGTCCCTATTTTAGGTATTTTACAGACCATATCGCCCATTTTCATTTTTCCTAGACCCTGTATCCTTAATTCAGGAAATACCAAAATTACCCCTCCACCTCCACCTCCACCTCCACCTCGTCGTCTACCAGTCGCTATCGTTTTCTGTTCACCGCCCGCCGTCCACGTTGGGAGGTGGGAAGGGAACGGAGGGGAGGACATGGCGGGGAAGGAGGAAGAAGGGAAAAGGGCAGATGACAGGGAAGCAGGGGAGAGGAGGAGAGAGAGGTGCGGGTTGCGATGACGACGACAGAGGTGACAATGACAATGGTGGAAGAGTACAGGAGCGACAGTTTGGATAGTTTTTGAATTAAAAATATAATTAAAGAAAAATTAAAATGAAGGGGTATGGTTTGAGAAATATCCAAAAAATGAGTTTTTTTAAAAATCAATCATATATATATAATCCAATTTTTTTCTCCATTTGGGGGAAATCTGTTTTATATCCACTTTTTTTCGTGACTTGAGTCACGGAATTTACGTGGCTTGGATAGTTTGGATAGT